TGTGTGTGTGTGTGTGTGTGTGTGTGTGTGTGTGTTCATTAGTCTGCTGCAGGTCGTCTGTTGATCCATTTGTCAGGATGTCGTCGTCTTTGTGCAGCTCGGACTGACAGAGGTGAAGCAACACGATCACAACCTCACTCTCTGTCTGTCTGTCTGCGTTTTTCTCTCTCTCTCTCTCTGTGTGTCTGTCTGTCTCTCTCTCTCTCTCTTTGTCTCTCTCTCTCTGTCATGGTGGACAAAAGGAGATAAATTACTTCTCATTCATACTTTTCTTTTCTCCTAATTTCTCTTTAGGCGTCTTCGCTGTGTGACAAAAGCTCATCTTTAATTCGTCACCAGACTGAGCTCCGACCACATCCATGAAGACATCACAACTGTGAACAAACTCACTGGTGACTAAGTTTAGCTTTGAGCAGTTCAGATGATGATGATGATGATGATGATGACTGAGGTCGACACTGACACGTTTTATTTTCGACCGAAAGAATGAGAAAACAACACAAACATCTACGAAGTGTTTTTAGTTGTGCAGATCTTCTCTTTTCAAAAGTTTATTTTTTTATGGGCCGAGAAGGATCCACCCGTCAGCCGCACGTCCGTCTGCAAACCAGTTAAAGTCAAGTATAGGTGGACGCAGCCCACGTAGGTGATGACGACAGGATGTAGGTATGTCAGATAAAATTCTTTAGCGTGCTAAATTACGTACAAAATTGACGTGAAACCAAAACTAACCAGATCAAATGAAACAATGGAACAAACACTTGAAGTTCAGACTCTCAGTGAGAAAACGTTCTATGAGTCATTTGATCTTGTTTAAGAATCGCGGAGGTTTAACATTTCATGAAATCTTTAATCAGAAAAAAAAGAAATCACTTAAATCTAATTTGTATCGAGAGAACCAAAAAAAAAAAAATCTTGAAAACTTGAAATCCAGCGTGGGAAAAAACCTGAGGTGTCACATGTGAAAAAGATGCTGATACAGTTTTTGTTCGTAGTAATAATAATAATGATGATGCAGGTTTGCATCTCCTGCCCACACTGCTGGAGAGCATTAACACCATGCGGGGTAATACCCACACACACTCTCTCACACACACACTGGGCCGTCACTCAGCTCCATTCACCTTTACACTGCAGCTCAGTCGGGGTCACATCAACACATTCAGCTGCCAAATCTCCTCTAACCAGTCATTCAACATCACTCAGCAGGGAGTGTGTGTGTGTGTGTGTATTTCCATAAGCTTCCCTTAATCCCAGAAGTCCTCCTCTTCAGAGGAAGAAAAGCAGGAGAAGGATGAATGAGTAACTGACCTCAGTGAATTACCCATCATGCTCTGGGGCTGTGGTATCCTGTGACATTCAGACCTTTAGTGTTGCAGATGATGACGATTATAAAGATGATCATTGATTTGAAGATGGATGATTGCTTCAAAAAGCCAAATCTGTCTTTCCCCTGGTGGCAGGCTGAAGTATAGGTCGTGAACACCTCCTCCTCCATGTTATCAGATGGGACACGGACCAAACTAAAAAAATCAAAGTAGACGTTAAATACATGTGATGGTTTCTGTCATTTTAGTTAGTTCTTATCACTAACGATGTGTTCAAGTGTCCATGTTTCTGCTCAGTTTGGTTTTAATTAGTTATTTGATGATTGACAGCTGACACTGACTCCTGATTGGTTGAGCACACGAGCGGGACCTCGGTACTGCTCATCACCCAACATGGTAGCGTTCGTATTTGAGATATTGTGGCTTTATTTCTTGGACATGTCGTCTTTATTCACAGTCGTTGGTCTGTAACCACAGAAATGAGTCCTCTGCTCATGAGTCATTAAAACATTGGAATCACCCTTTAATTGTATGAGTGTGGTGGGAATCATGAGTGCTCTACATTTGGCTATGAGGCAAGAGTGGGTGTGAAGTAATTCTATCTCTGTGAGGACCAGTTTATTTTGTCTTGACTCATCCATCTTTTCATCCACACACACACACACACACACACACACACACACACACACACACACACACACACACACACACACGTTACTGAACATGTTCATGCTCCAGTTCTGCAGAAAACAAGACTAAACTAAATCAAAGTTTCTTTTTACTGTTTCAGTTTATTAGTCATCTTCATCTCTTCATCTTCATCAGTAAAGTGCTGCTGCTGTTTTTAACACGACAAAGAGCGTGGGTCTGTGACGTCACGGGCTCGTCCTCCTGCAGGGACGTGTGAGGAAGAGGAGGAGGAGGAGGAGAAGTTAGGAGGAGGACAGACTCTGGTCCTCAGTGTGATCTTCCTCTCCGGTGCAGACATGTTGGACACCCTCACCTTCCTCCTGGAGAGACTCTTCCTCCTGGCTCACATCAAGCTCTCCTCCCAGCTGCGCCCGCCGCTCACCGGCCGCTGTGACCGGGACGACGCTCCGCCGCTGCCCGCCGCTCCTCCGCACAGGTTCCAGCGGGGAGACCTGCTGGAGGTCCCGCGGACCCTCTTCACCCACTTCGGCATCTACCTGGGCGAGAACCGGGTGGCGCACATGATCCCGGACATCCTGCCGGTGCTGACGGCGGAGCGGCGGCAGATCCAGGAGATGGTGACGAACACGCGGCTGCTGCTCGGGGTCCTCTCCAAGCGCGCCTCCGTGCGCGTGGACTCGGTGGAGGACTTCGCTTACGGAGCCGCGATCCGGCTGAACGCCATGGACCGGGCGGTGCTCCGCAGCGCGCTGCCCGGGGAGGAGGTGGCCCAGCGGGCGGAGCTGCTGCTCGGCTCCGTGTCCTACAGCCTCCTCTGGAACAACTGCGAGCACTTCGTCACGCACTGCCGCTACGGGAGCGCGCAGAGTCTGCAGACTGACCAGGTAAGAGCGCGGCCCCGCGCCGCTCCTCTGATGTGTGATGTGCGCGTGTGAAGTTCTGATGTTCACTCAGACGTGCACGAGCTTGTTCACACCAGACTCAGCTTCATCACTTCATCACCTTCATCACTTCACACCACAACCACTTCATCACCTTCCTCAGCTTCTTCATCTCCATCATCACCTTCATCACCTTCTTCTCCTTCATCACTTCACTCCACCAGTCATTTGTCAACTCTTGTGGTTCCATCATGGTTCTGACGTGCTTGTGTTACTGTCCTGGTTCTGTTTCGGTTCCATTGTGTTCCGTCACGGTTCTGTTGTGCTCAGTTGTAGTTTCTTTGTTCCAAGTTGTTCTGCTCTGTTGCATTGTGGTTCCAGTTGTAGTTCTGTCTTGTTGTGGTTCTTTTCAGTTTTGGCTCTTTCATGCTCTGTTGTCTCTGTTCTAACGGTTCTGTTAGAACAGTCTTTTCAATTAAAAATAGAAATCCAGTATTTCCCATGATTCCTGTGACGACCCCTCACATGTATCTGGTGACCCTTTGATGGGCCTCGACCCTCAATTTGAGAACCACCGCACTTGAACGACTGTGTATAAACTAAAAGGACTCAGGATCATTAATGTTGTTTATTATAACAAAATGTTTTATTGAAGGAGAAACTAAAATATCTGACCAGAGAGGTTAAAGGTAAAAACAGAAACTCGAGCTCCAGCCTCGTCCTCGTCTCTCTCACTTCAGTTTGTAGGTGTTTGAGTTTGCGAGGCTGTTTTTTTAAACGAGAGGAAAATGTGCGTCGCTGTTCGGAAAAGTCCAGAGAACAAGAGCTGCATTCAGACTGGTGCCGTCTGCCAGGAACCAATGAGCTGCAGCGGCGGCAGGCTGACGACAGCCGTGATGATGATGAAGATGAAGTAGGGCTTCTGTTTCTCATGTATCATTAAGTTTCTGTAGAAGACATTTAAAAACAGTCGGTTTCCTGAATCTGAGTTTCCAGAATCCTCAAAGACTGGAAGGATAACAAAGGTTTGTTTAACTCGTATACCAAGCTGCGATTTTGATTTGAAAACCAGAACCACAAGTTCAGAGAGTGTGGAAAGCAATATTCATTCCAATAAATGATCGCTCTCTAATGCTACTTTTAATTGACCTCATCACGCACGAGTTGATCTTCTTCCAGTAGAGGAAGTCTAAAGTTTTTTTGATTCTCATTGCATCAGAGCTTTCAGCTAGGTTAGTACAGTACTGTGTGTACGGATTCATTATTCAAATGAGATAGTAAGCGGCCATCTTTGATTTTATGTCGGTGTTGTCGTTCTGACTGATTTTTCCAGTTGAAATTTCTGACTGGGAACTCTAAAATTCCACCATCCATGTTCAAATGGAACACATTTTAATCTTAAACCACCTAAACCGTGACAATATAATTAAAT